TTGAATGCGGTCAATGTCATTCAATTAAGAAAAAATATGAGATTTTTTTTTGTATTTCTTATTTTTATTAGGAAACTATATTTTATTATTTACTAGTTTAAGTAAAATTTTATTTTATTTTAATTTTTAATTTATTTAGGATTTTAATTTCTTAGTTGTTTTAGATTTTTATTACTATTTAAAGTCTGGTAAATCATAGGACAAAATAATTTTTTATCGTCGAATACAATTAAGAGAATTGTCTCTTTTCTTTTCAATTATTTTAGTATTCTCAGGAATCAATAGAGTTATTGAAACATTTAGGATTGATATTATTTGTGAATCAACAAACCTAGAATAGGAATTTAAATTGGTATTTGTATACAAATTATCGATTTATTTTCATTTTTCCTTTTCGTTTGTTATACTTTTCTTTTTATCCTCTTCCATACATTAATAAGTGTTATTTAGAACAATAGTAATGTTATAAAATACTTAATTAGAGATTTAATTTAATGCAGTCATTGAATTAAATATGAGTTTCAACACATATGAAACTCACTTAAAATTTAATAACTATAATTGATTAATTCCCAATATTAATAAGTCTTCAAATTAAATTCAAATAATATTTTCCATAGAATTAAAACTTGGCCAATGAATTTTTTTTCACAATTACATCACTTTTCAACCTATAAGCAACCACAATCTTACGTACACACACACCTAACAAAGTCAACAGAACTATTGGACATGTCAAAGTGTTAAATTCAAGCTTGAGATGTTATCCCGTGGTAAAAATTATAATTTTTTAAAACTAATTTATAATTTTTTTGAAATATAAATTATAATTTTATAGGGCATGATCAATCATGAAATATTATAATCGATACCGAAAATTTACGATTAATCATGAGTGTCTGTGATCGTTCATGGCATTTGATGGGTCAAGCCCAAGGGCTCAACTCACGAAATAAGCCCAGACTAAATTAATAGTGTAACTCCAAAAAGATCCAGCAAAGTCCAGCCTAAAATAGTTCACATCCGATCAAGTTCATCAGATTCAAGGAGTTACGTCAGCAGGGGGAGCATACAGAGTCATCCAAAAGCCTTCACGACACCTTGAAAAAAGTCAACACTCATCTCATCATTTGACCGAGTCTCATGGAGAGCACCATAATTGCCTCGCCCCGTTGAGAAGAGATCGTCATTTTCACTAGAATAGTCACTTGGTTACTAACAACTCGTCTCAATCTATTATGGAGCGACTATAAATTGTAAACTCCGCAACACTTAGGGGACATCACATTCAGTCGAGCACAACTCTCTCTTTTCTCTCTTAGCTTTTAACTCTCTGCTCTCCCTGCTCACTTAAAATAATAAAGTATCTCGTGGCCCTAATTATTCAAAGTGAACGGAGGCCACGTTGACCGAATCACTATAAACTTTGTCTTATTTTTGTCTATATCTATTACCTCTTAATTATTGCATTTATTATTATTCATCTGACAAGTGGTGTACAAACTCAATTTGTACATCATTAGCATTCCCTTGAGTAATTGAAACTTATCTTTTCAAAGAGTTATAAATTTACCATAAAAAGTGATAACCGACGATACCAATACCCAAAAAAAAAAAATTCGACACCGTAGACTTTCCCTCTCCGATTTATTCCTTCCAATTACATTTATCAAGTAATGAAAACTATGTAATCGTTATCATACTTTTAACTTTTTATTATAAATGTAAATTCGTGGCAATCAACCTATCTTTTTCAATTCACTTGTAAAATTTGATAGAAGAGTAATGTTATTGATACCTAAAAACTTGACGTAATATACTAACTTACTAATGTGACAATGTAATGGTATAATAGTATTCTTATGACGGTAATTGTTAGATTTTTTTTATTGAGACTCTATGACTTAACACATTATTATGTTAATAATTAAATTAATTTTTTAAGTTTCAATAACATCACTCTTAATAAATTATCACTTTTAGTTAACTCACTTAACATTTGTGCAGATTTTTTGGTTAATTTTAACAATATTCACCCACAAAAAAACTATTTAATGGATTTTTTTTTATTAATAATGCTATGTATTAATGATGGAGTGATATCATCTATTATAATCAATATTTCCCATTGCATTATACTGGTGGAAAAATTTACATTACAAAAAAAAAAAAGGTTCCATATGGTATACAAAATTATTACTTTTAATGGTAAGATTATACTTTTGAAAAGAGAATTTATGACTATCGAGGAAAGTGTATGATCGATCATAGATCCCTTGAACAGTTGTAACTCTTTTTTTACGAATTGTAATTTAATTTTTAAAAATTATAACTTAACCTTCAATCGTTGTAATTTCACGATTTATGGTAATGTTTTAAGATTGATCATACCTTTACAAGTTATTAGTAATACACAACGTGCGTTGCATATAAATAAATTTAAATATTATTATATTTTATAAAAAATATAAATTATAATTAATTTATATTTTAATTATTACTAAATTTAATTATTGATTTATTCTATAAATTTTTAAGCAATTAATTTGTTGTTTATTTAGGTATCTGTCAGACTTTTTAAAATATTTGCACATCTAATCTAATTATATTATAGAATTAATAATTTTTATTTTGTTAAATAGATTGATGAGATCACTCTTCTAATATTATTATTTTATGACATATCAAAAAAATAAAAAATAAAAAATATTTGATTATAGATCATATAGATATAGATAATTATATATAACTGTATTATTAATAAATGAGTTCAAAAAAATTTAGAAAATTTTATAAAAGAATCAAAAACAAATTAAAAGTTAAATATGTGTAAAACAATAAAAATATATAAGAGGGTATAATTGACCTTAGAATAATAATTATGAATAAAATAAAAAATTAAAATTTTTTCGACATTTATGAATAAAGTATAGGTAATTATTATATCAAAAAATTATATATTAACCTCAAAAAATTATAATTTTCGATATACGGAGTATTTCCGTACAGTCAATCTTTACTTTCTATAATAATAGGTACAAGTGTACAGCAGTGTAAACCCAGCCGTACGCCAGTCACGAATAGACAAAAATATAAAGATGAATTACATTCACTCCTGCTAAAGTTTGTCATTAAATCATACTGACCCCCTCAGGTATGAAAAATTACTCCATAATCCCTTGAGATTTGGTTTCATGTAACACATAGCCCCAACCATTTAGATCCGTTTAAAAAGTAGTTCAATTTTGATGACATCAATATATATTTGCCATAAAATTCCCAAATAACCCATACAAGACCAAATACTAAATAACTATTAATTTGGTCAAAAAATAAGTCAAAATTATTGGCCAAAATTTAATCAATACTTCAATTTGGTCAAAGAAGTATCCCACTCAATACATGGGGCGACAATTTCTTATAGAACATAAAAACATTACTCGAATTTGACACGAAATTAGTAGGTTATACTTGATCATTTTTTAACATGAACCCGATAACACGAATAATAAATGGATTGGATTACTGTCAAAACATAAACAACATGAAATTAAGACGATTAACACGTTTAGCTAATTTTATAAAAATAAAATGCTAAATATTTGTTATTGTTTATTAAACATTGACATAATTATTATACAAAAAAAAAATATTTTTACTCATTATTTTTGTTATGTTTATTAAGTCAAATTTTAATTTATAAAAAAAATTTGAGAATGGATTCAATTAATTGATAATAGAATCTGAGAATTAAATTTTAACATTAAGTTTTTTATTTGATATTTTATATAGGTCAATATGAATACGAACACGAATACAAATCCAACATAAAAATATACAAATCAATCTACACAATATAATTAATTAAATAAATTAAATTAAAATTAATTAGTGTTTCACGCAAACCCACGCTACCCCGACACGAACCGCACAAGACACGATTGCCTCCCCTGATTGTATCCACCAACGCAATTATCCTCTGCCTTTGCCAGCACTGCCGCCATAGACTCCTTCATTGTGTCTCTAATGACACCACCATCCTCCACAACACACACACACACACACGAACACACATTCTTTCCCCCCTCCCCCTCCCCCTCAATGCCATACCCACCACCATCACCCTCCCTTACCTTTGCCATCACTGCCAAACCCTTTTCCACCATCTCTCTTGTGGCACCACCCTTCTCTCTCTTAACAACCACCACCACAAGAACCAAAAACCCCAAACCCAAGAAAGCCCATGGCAATCCATCAAACTGGTTTAACCTCAATCAAAGATCGTCCTCACTGCATCTTCGCCACCAAACCAGACACACATGCACAGATCCATCGCGAAGAGAAAAGGATGTGCTAGGAGCAGGAGGTCCGAGCCCATAATTGCCACTACAGACATTTCCAGTTCCTCCATGAATATTACCATAACTGGCGTTGGTTTGAGCAGTTTTACCGCCTCCAAAATTGCGTCCAATTCCACCACGTCCACTAAGAACACTATAACCACCCACAGCAAAGGCACTTATTGGGCACAAAACGCTATTGTTGACACCACCAATAGCTGCATGACTGCAATTTCTACTGGGGAATTACAACTCCAATCCCAGGCCATCAAACCAATTTTCGGACCTAGACCTGTGGGTATCCTCTCCAATTTACATAAATTGGTTGGGATGTGGTTGTGGAGGTTAATGGAGGGTAGGTAACGGTAAGGGTGGCGTTGTGGAGCGAGGAAAAAGGCAGAGAAGGGAGAGAGAGAGAGAGAGAGAGAGGCAGGTTGTTTTTGGGCAAGAGGTTGCATTTGGGTTTGGATTAGTGGTTGGTTCGGGTCGGGTTTGGATTTCGTTTAGGTAACAGGTGGGTTGAGTTTGATGGTGTTTATTTTTTTTATTGAAGGGTATAATAGTCATTCTACTTTTTTTTTTTTGTTGTTAGCTTATCGTTACTGACAGGGGATGCCAGTATAATTTCCTATACCTGGGGGGTTCCGTCTGATTTAATGACAAACTTTAGGGGCGTGAATTTAATTTACCCAAAATGTAAAAACTGAATAAAATAAGTATCCGCCTGCAAAAACAATGGCAAAAAAAATTAAAAATAAATAAATAAACAACCCCCACAGTTCAACTTCAACCCCTAATCTGAACCATCTCTTGTCTGGACAGATTCAAACTTATTGTTTTTTTGTCTCTCATGCCTTTTCTAGCAATGTAAAATGGACATATTTATTTTGTCGCTTCCAAACGTTGGCTGTTCTTTGCTCTTTACCATGGGGTGACGACAAGAACAAGGAGAGACAAAGTCTCTTTATTGTTTTTCACGCCTTCCTTGCAGCCGACTTTCCAATTTTCTGTTTTTTTTCCCCCTTAATTAATACTACTTATGGGTATTTAAATTTATTTTGATCCTCTCTTTCTTCTGACAAAGAATTAGTAGGAGATCAGAAAGTTGCAGCGTTCAAAGAACTAACTAAGTCATACAGAGAAGGAGACAGCATCATAACAAAATGGAAAAAAGATTGGTTTAAGACTTAGCAAATTATTGGGTAGTCGCTGGAAATAAAATGCTCGTGAGCTCTCTCTCTCTCACACACACACACACACTTGTAACAATGCTTTTTCAGTGTCATGACATGGTTAATGCATAATTTCTTTGTATATTCTTCTTCATCTGCTAGACATAATTTGATTTGTTTGGGGGGGGGGGGGGGTAGAATAACTAGTTAAGTTAGTGTTTTTATGATCTCTTTGAGCATGACAAAAAATAGTGCAATTTCAGATAATGGGTATGACATGAAATTTTAATATAATTAGTTGACATATAAATAGGATCTTGACATAATTATAATTCATGGTTTTTGACTCTTTCTGTTTCAATTGAAGAGGGAAATATCCAGATTTTGCTGAAAATAGTGGTGTAGGAATTGACAGTGAAAGAAATTCAAAGAGTTGGTCACATGTTTGACCTAAAATTCTGGTCTGGAAAGGAGACTTTCTAATGCTTTAAACCCCAACTTGATTCATTTTTTCACATGATTCCTACTGAAGGAAGACTTAGTGTTGGCTTTCTTACTTTGTGGCTTAGGAGTCATCACTGGTCATTTTCTGTTGATTCATGGCCTCATTAATAGACCGTTTGTTCTCTCATTGTTCTGCAGATCAAAGCATCTAATTGAAGACGCTTTCATCAGATTGCCATGGCATATGGTGATTCCAGATCTGTAAGGTATGATCCCTTTTGTTCTTCACTGTTGTGTTGTTTCTTACAAAGCGTAAATTTGATGTATGGTCACTCTGAGTCTATAGGTAGTTTCATGTTTATGACTGATTGATATTTCAATTTACTTCGCATTTTGGCATCAAATGGCCGATAAGTTTGATTATCACATGATTACTTTCAGATTCCATGATAAAATCAAAGGAGATAGTGTGGTTAAGGTCAAATACAAAATAGATGGAACACAAGTACCAGGGGAGCTTAGCTCTAAGAAGGGTGATAAGGTGACTGACACGAATGGAAGATCCTTGAAAGCAAAAGTTTTATCAAGAGTGTTCCCAGAGGACTATGAGAGAGTGAAGAAAAAGATACTGGATCCTCGAGGACCAACCATACATCGGTGGAACAAAATCTTTTTAGCAGCATGTTTAGTTTCTTTGTTTGTGGATCCTCTCTTCTTTTATTTGCCAGTAGTTCGAGACGATGCTTGCATAGATATTGGATATACCCTTGAGGTTGTTCTTACTATTATAAGATCAATTGCCGATATATTCTACATGATTCAGATATATTTTCGGTTTCATACTGCTTATGTTGCTCCTTCCTCTCGTGTATTTGGGAGAGGAGAGCTTGTCATAGACTCTTCTAAGATTGCATCAAGGTACTTGAGCAAAGGTTTTTGGATTGATTTCATTGCTGCACTGCCCCTTCCCCAGGTATGTCAAATCTAAATGCTGTCGGTTTGTGCCTTGCAGGAAAACGATAATGTTCTATGATGTTGAGGACACTGTATTTTCTCTATCTTTCAGGTATTAATTTGGGTAGTTATCCCCAATCTAGGGGGTTCAATAATGGTAAACACGAGAAACGTCCTTCGCTTTATTATCATTTTTCAGTACCTCCCGAGACTTTTCCTTATATTTCCACTCTCGACACAAATTGTCAAGGCTACTGGTGTTGTGACAGAGACCGCTTGGGCAGGGGCTGCCTACAACTTGATACTTTACATGTTAGCAAGTCATGTAAGTTCAAGGGAACTCAGTTGCACTTAAATCAAAGTATCCATATCTATTGTGATTTTTTGCTAGAATTAGGGGTTGTTGACCTCAACACCTGCTGTTCCTTGCAACCAAATTGAGAATAACTGTTCTTAGTATGCTTTATGTTTAAAACTAAGGGCTATACTTGATTTGCTATAAGATTGTTAATATTTTTCAGCTCTTTCAGTTTCCTACTCTTATTTTTCATTTTAGGTTTTAGGAGCTTGTTGGTACCTTCTATCTGTCGAGAGGCAAGAAGCATGCTGGAGACAGGCCTGCAGTTTTGATAAGCCTTATTGTGAATACAGATTCTTTGATTGCCAGAGGGTTGGAGATAGTGATAGAATTTCATGGTTCCAATCAAGTAATGTCACAAATTTGTGCAATCCAAACAGTGGCTCTTATCCATTCGGTATTTATGGTGATGCAGTGACATCGGAAGTTACTTCCTCAATGTTCTATAAAAAGTACTTCTACAGTCTTTGGTGGGGCCTGAAGAACCTAAGGTAAGATGCTTTCTTAAACTCTCTAAAGTTGGAGAAACTTCGTTTCCCATGGAAATGAAAACATTACCTTCTCGTTTCCACTAATTCTAAGATGGATCAGTCTGTTCCAGTACTTTTTCTTGTAAAAAGTTTCTTCATGTAAATTAGTAAGATGAATTTTTATTTGTCAGATTTTCGATAATTATATAGTGGTAATTCAGCTTTTAAGGATTTGCACCAAATGCATTGAAGGGGTTGGATTTAACTTAATTTAGCATAAATGAAGCCAGCAAGCTAATTTTGCGTCCCCGTTTAATTTCTGGGAAATAGAGAGGGATAGAAGTTCTGAATCTTCCAATTATCATCCCAATCCTGAATAGTTGTAAGGTATGTAGAGCTACCAAACAGATCATTGTTTGGTGAAAGAAAGTGGACAGTTTCATTTTCATGGGTCATCCAAACGCTGAATCAATTTTGATTCATGCTCTTATATTTACTCTAATGCAACACGCGTTTTGGTTGAACAAGTGCAGTTCTCTCGGGCAGAGTCTTTTCACAAGCACTTATGTTGGAGAAATAAGTTTTGCCATCATAGTAGCAACTCTGGGTTTGGTTCTCTTTGCGTTGCTCATTGGGAATATGCAAGTAAGTCAATTGATATTTGTTGACTCAATTACTTAAGCTTTAAGCACTTGATTAATATTAAAGAAATCTGGTATTTTAATGGCCTTGGGTTTGGGGGCTTGTACCTAGAGGCCTTATTTTATGCCTTAGCAATACACTCATACGGATGTATTGGCAGACCTACCTCCAATCTACAACAGTTCGGTTGGAAGAATGGAGGATCAAGAGAACTGATACAGAACAATGGATGCGTCACAGGCAACTACCCCAAGAATTAAGGCAGTCTGTACGAAAATATGATCAATATAAGTGGGTGGCTACTCGAGGAGTTGATGAAGAAGCTATTCTTAAAGGCCTCCCTTTGGATCTCCGAAGAGACATCAAGCGCCACCTATGCTATGATCTAGTTCGACGAGTAAGTCTTAGTATCTATAATCTGTCTCAATTTTTGTTCTATATGCAGTGGTAGAAACTTCAGATATTGTCTGTTGAAACCCATTGAGGCCACTTGTAATAGGGTATCTAAAAACAAGTTGAAAGTAGCATTTGTGTAATTTTCTTGTTTGTTTGACTCCTCTAAAATTGCACAGGTTCCATTGTTTGATCAAATGGATGAAAGGATGATAGATGCGATATGTGAGAGGCTTAAACCAGCCTTGTCCACCCAAGGCACTACCCTAGTGAGGGAGGGGGACCCTGTTAATGAAATGCTCTTCATAATTCGAGGAAACCTAGATTCTTACACCACAAATGGTGGCCGTACTGGATTCTTCAATTCATGTCGAATTGGTCCAGGCGATTTCTGTGGAGAAGAACTGTTGACATGGGTGCTTGATCCACGTCCCAGTGTCATCCTTCCTTCATCTACTCGAACAGTTAAAGCCATTTCCGAAGTAGAGGCATTTGCGCTCATAGCAGATGACTTGACGTTCGTATCATCGCAGTTTCGAAGGCTACACAGCAAACAACTCAGGCACAAGTTCAGATTTTACTCACACCATTGGCGAACATGGGCAGCTTGTTTCATACAAGCAGCGTGGCGTCGGAATAAAAAGCATAAGAGTGCAGCAGAACTCGAGGCTCTAGAGGATCTGGTAGTTGCTGAATCTGTACAGTTACATGGAAAATTGGAGGTAAATGTGCCACCACCAGGGTCAGGCTTGGCTCTATATGCAGCAAGGTTGGCAGCAAGCACTAGGAAGGGTGTTAACATGGACTTTGGGTCAGATTCCAGTGCCATGAATTCCCTGCAGAAGCCACCAGAACCTGATTTTTCTGTAGATGAGGAATGAATGATTGGACAATTAACATCATACAATTGATCGAATAATGTGTATTGATTTTTCTTCATTTGATACTGTTTGGACTTAAAATATAAAATCTTAGGAATATTCAATGCATGAACATGTGACAAATCTGAATGCATTAAGAAGATGTCACATGACAGAATCTAAAGAGAGGTGGGAGATGGTTAGCTACAACCACATTGGAAAATAAGAAGTAACTAACCGAAAGTTACCAATAAGATAATTGTTGATGGAGGCAAAATCGTCAAGGAAAGTATACAGGCATATAGTGGAGAAGATGAATGATACATTCAAACCCCTACAAGACCCATGATTTGGGCATTTTAAGAGTAGTGTTAGATTAGTTTTAAGAAACAATTACTACTACTATTAAGAGTGTTAATCCAATCTTTTCTGTCACCGTAGTTCATTTGATTGAATTAATAAAGAAATCTTCTTTTATTAGTTACATGTACTATATGTTTATCTATTAAAATTCATCTAAGAAAAGTCTTGAAACAATGCATTTGAACCCCTCACAAGCAATCGCCTGAAGACTGTCTGTCGATTGAGTTTTATCCGTTGATAACAACAAAATTTGAAACAACAGATACCCAGTAAAGGACAATCTTACAGAATTATATTAAAGTGGAGGATAATTTTGATACCATGATAAAGTTAACTTCTCTTTTTTTTTTCTTTCAAATTATTCAATTAGGAAACGTAGGTTGCAATATGAAGATTACATGCATGCTAGAATTCACTTCCAGATGCAAATAAACTTGACAAGTATTCCTATAATTGATCTAAGCTTACACTATTATAGAATGGAAATCTCCACAAATTTACATTAAATGTTATGTTATTTCTGGGAAATGTCAATCCGACACTATGGAAGGATAGAGTGAGCCTCTTAGAAAGCACCCAAAGTTACTCGAGCTAGGCTCGTGGCGGGAATTTTAAAATGTTGGCTTTCTTAAAACACTGATAACCCAAGGATTAAAAGGTAACTTTCATGTCATATAATAGACCTTAATGCGCCAAGATTGCAGTGTGCCATATAGAACTTCTAAAATAACACATATTAGTAATCATTCATAGAGCCACGAATTACACTGATTAAAGGTGAAAACACCCAAAAGAAAACAAGAGGAAGGAATCTACATATTAAATATTAATGCATTTAAAAATAATTATCACATGCTCACAACTAAATATATTAGGAGTAAATATTATGTGTAACGGTTACATTACGTCAGTATTGTCATCTGGTGTAATTATATTAGGAGTAAATACTATGTGCAAACGGTTACACCATGTCAATATTGTCATGTGGTGTAATCGTCCAATGAGAAACAAACAAATTGACAAAATGAACCACACTATTTCAAATAACAATCCCTTTATAGAGAATAGTAACAACCACATATTTAAACAGTGAGGTTCACTTGTCTATTTATTTGTTTATTATTGGACGATTACATTACGTGATAATGTTAACGTGATATAATTGTTAAAATGCAATATTTACTCCTATATGAGAGAGAGAGAGAGAGAGAGAGAAGATGGGTAGAAGTTACTTTAGATGAGAGAAGGTGGTGGAGGACATGAAATTTGGCTGAAACAAAAACTCACCTATTAAAGAAGAACAATTTCAATAAAAGGTTAAAAAATTGGGCCCCCGAGGCTCCGGCCATAAATTCCTCGGTGACAGCAACTCTTGAAAGGACTTTCCATGGGCCAATCTGGCCCATGTCCCTCCAGGAACTAACTAATTTTTGGTCTGAGCTCTGCCATTTGGGGTGACCCCACTTTGACTATTGGCCAGCTTTGGTTAGTTTATAGAGACACAAAACGCACACACACACACGGTTTCCATCGAATTTATTAAGGTATAGGGATTGTGACAAACCAGGCCCAACTAATCATGCCAAAACAAGCTCAAATTGAGTGGTGTTGTTATTTTTAGAGTGTATGGGAAGTCGGATCCTAGATCCAATAAAATTTTAGAAAGAATTGTTCGTCAATTTACTTTTGGATTAGGTTCTTGTTAAAAAGTCAAAGTAAATGACATTACAAACATCCTTTAAAATTACAAAACATAAAGACGATGCAATCGAGTAATTAAAGCACCTATGCAACTATCTTAGAATACTACGTCAACATAATGTACCTTCTTTTCAATAATGGCAAAACGATAGATAGATACACTAAAAAAATATAACATGTTATCAACTAACGTACCTATTTGCTAGTGGTTCAAAGGTACATTAAGCACATTTACTAACACCGACTGTATTCAGTGTATCTCTCGCACAGATACACTGTGTTGACCGATGTTTCTTCGATTAACTACATAATTAACATCATAATAACCTACATTCACACCTCTTTATCTACTCTCATGGAAAAATATGAGGGGCTTAGGTGTAATATTTCAAACGTGAGAGGGTCTAAATGATTAAGGGCTTGTTTGGATGGAGGGTTTGGGTGGGTATACGAAGAAGGGTTTAACAAAAATACTCCAATGAAGAGGCTAAACCCATGTTTGGATGCAGGCTTAAGGCCCGGAATTTAAATCCCGTCCCGCAACAAACAAGCCCCTAAAACCCATGAACAAAGGTTTCACCAAACCCAAGGGGAGGTGGGTTTGAAATCGGCCCAACCCGAATATGATGGTTAAAAGACATTTGTATTCCTAATAAAATTTCATATTTACCCAAATAATATCCCAACCCCCATACCCTATCAACAATCCATTATGGGAAAGATGGGTCTGGGAAAGGGAGGACGCTTGTCTTCTTCTTGGCAATGATTGAAGAAATCAATGGAGGAAGAAAACTGGTAGAGAGATTCACGCAACATGGAGATCTTTGAGGAAGGGAAGAAACTTGTCCTCTCCTTTGCCACCGATGGAAGAAAAGCAATGGTGTTGCAGAGATATTCTTGACTATCTAACTCAATCACTGTTCGATCAAGCTTTGATTGGGCTATAAAAAGCCTTCTAGTTCTTCGTTTTTTTGCCCATCTAGGGAAAGTAAGTCCAATTCTTTTTGCTTCATCGTTCTTCTATTTTCTTCATTTCTTCGCTAAATAAGAGGGATGGGTTTGAGGGGGGGTCTGGAATGGTCTGAAGTTTGGTTTTTATTTTTTATTTTTTTGGTAATATCTTCTACTTTTTTTGTTCTCCATTTGTGAAATTTTGACTGAATTTTTTTTATTTTTCCAATTTGGCGTTTACATTGAGCATTTGTAAGGGAGAAGCCTGTATTGCTTCGGCTATCTGAGATTTGGAGGTTAGTGAAATTTTTTTATTAAAAATGGTTTTTCATCATAGTATTATAAGGGACATGCCTATCCTGTGTGGTTCTTTTGTCTTGGAAAGGATATTTGCATTGGTAATTCTATAATCGTCAACTTGATTGGTTTTTGGTATCTTATTTGTTTTCATTTTCTGTCTTTTTCTGAGTTACTTATTTTTGTTTCTACATTAAGTTGAGTGGGAAGTTCTGGAAATGTATTAGAGTAACTTGGATTTGGGTGAGGATTTTCTACTTAACAGAGGTTTGCTTAACTAAATGTTGCTTATATTGACTAAATTTGTTGAATCCTGGTGATGAAGACCCTAGTGTTAAATATACTGGATTTTTTAGGCCTTTGGGTTTCAATGTGCAGAAAGTTAGGATTTGAGGAGAATGTCTATGTTGAATTGTAACTGTAATGCTTATGCAGATTAGTGAGTGAGGCTTTCGTTTTCATTTCAACCAACCTCGAAAATATTAGCTTACAAAACTAACTTGTTATTAATGACAAAATTGAACTAAAATTTTCTCATCCTTTGACAGATTATCAACTACATTTTTCTTCATTATTTAGCAATGAAGTCTACACCACACCTACTGTCCATGGTAACTTGAACCTTAAAAATAACAAATAAACTCATTTTGTTGGGCTGAAACTTGGATGAATTTGCATAGGTAGAATCACAACATATGCTACATTTTTCATCTGGGTCGATCTATATATCTTGCACCTAGTCGAAAAACTTACATCATGTAATGGGAAGTGAAAATATACCTACATATAAAAAAAATAACAGGCAAAAATCATTATATATCTGATTATTCGTGTTCGTGTGCATAGTGCTTCAACTTTAATATTGTAAACCCAAGCGCAGGTTGAGCAAAGTAATATATTTCTCGGAAGACCGAGGTCGAACCTTCAAGGAATTGTAACAAGAAATCAATCACACAAACACTTAAACAAACTTAAAAATAAATGATTTGTTTAGAGAATTGTTGAACAAATAAAGTTGATTTAAATAATTAAAACAATAATAAAAATACTAGAGCATTAGGTACTCCCTCTCAATTCCATACAATAATGATTAAAGACTCAAATCTTAACTTGAGACAAGAATTAGATGTCGGTTGATTCGAGTAACAAATCAAGTAAGAAAATTAAAAGTTATAATCAAAAGATTATTCAGAAACCTGAATAATCGTCCAATTATATTATTTTATGAAATAATGATAAAAAGCGTGGAATAACCAGTTATTTACTCACAGGGAAATTCAAGCAATCGATATACATGACATAACGACTCAAGGATTTGTACAGAATAAAAACTTTGCTAACATATCAGAAGTTAAATTAACAAAATATCATAAATCATTAAACTCAGAATCAATCACATTACCGTACTTCATTGAGAAGTCCTCCCCTAGCCCTAACTTAGCCTTCTAACTGGACACGACGAACTAAAATAAAAATAAAAAGGGAAAAAAAAGAATTATATAAAAATCTCTAAATGAGAACCCCTATTTATACTAAAAATAATCGTAAGTATCGGTAGAAGATATAAGATTGTCTTGGAAAGAATTCCTTTTCCAAAAAGAAGTCTTGTAAGGTTAAATCCCGTGCATAAAATCTTTGGGACACGGATACAAAATCTGTGCAAATTTTGAGCTTCAATTTCGCATATTTAGAGGTTGAATTACGAAAATTTTGTGAAATACACTTTTGTAGCCTTTGAAGTCTTCTTTTTCACCCCCAAAAATCAAGTAAATCGGATATCAGAG